GCGGTGTGTGTTTGGTGACTGGCTGGCTCGCTATATTTGAGTTGGGTAGGTGTGTGGGCATTCCGCGCCACATTCACTCAGGAAAACAAACACACAGCGATCAAAACTTCACGGCACCAATTACTCACAAAGCTTACGCTGATACTTAGAGACAGAAGACACTATGACCATTTTGCGACTGGTGGTTAGAACAGCTCGGAATCGGAATTGGCGGTCAATCCCCACTCCTTCCCAAACCCTAAACCCTCTTCCTCGTGCTCGTTCACGTGATATTCCAAACCCTCGCCTTCTCTATCACCGTATAGCTCTCTCCTCTCCTTTAGACTCATAATTTTCGGTTTAATTTTACTGAATTTAAAGATTTTGAGATTCTACCATTTTGATTGTGGATGCTGGTGCTTCTGTTCATTTAGTTCTAGTTTGAATTGGATAAGTTTAATTTCTTCGGTGCCTATGCATCTCGCTAGACATTGATGCTTATAATTGAGAAATGCAGGGGCTTTTGAGCAGCAATTTCATTCCAGTGCATCTGAAATTCAGGTGCCCAACCCGAATGGTTCTGGACGAAATCTTATGTTTCCAGCTGTGTTGGCTGGTTTGCTTGGAGTTGGAGGGATAGAGGTGGCTTATGCAGATGCGGCGGAGAAGGTACATGTGCATCTATTTTCTGTAGGATCATCATTCTTGGACCAATTTTACCATTCTTACTCTTTAACTTGTGCAGGATATTTCCAAGCCCTCTTTGCCATCTGAGTCTCCTGCAACTGAAAGTCATGTGGACCTGGAGGAAATTGCCAAGAAACAACGACAGAAAATTGAAGACTTGCTCAAAAGTAAAGGAATTCGACGTGGTTCTTATCCCCAGTTTACCGTTGCTGTGAAGGGACAAAAGGTTATTGCACTTAATTGAAATGCCACAGTTTTACATGTCTGGAAGTTTAATACATACTTAGACACGAACATGCACACATGCTAAGGTCTTATCATTAATTATGCAGTGTCCTCTTCAGAAAACTACTTGGTAAATATGATTTTGTTCTGTTGAGAAGACGGTTTGTGATGGGTCTTTATAAGTCGGGACAGATCATTAATAGAAGGAAAGAAAGTCTTAGCAATATAATATTCTTGGTTGTCGTTACTCTTCATGGTTTCTGAAGTTGATATCTTAAGCGTTGAGGCATGCCTGATAATCACATATTTTGAATACTCAATTTATAAAGGGTTCATCTACTTGTAGGATTTATTAGTTATTATATGTGGTTTTGTCCTCATAAAAGAATCCATGTATAGAACTCTTTCAAATCAGTGTTGATACGAGCTTCCAATGGGTATAGGTTTGCATCAAGTTCCAAATTCCTCCAGCATGTGAAGCTTCACAACTGATTGCAAATATTGCTTCTCATCTTGGACTAAAGGTAGAAGAACATGGTGGTGGTTCAGATATGTTGTTACGTGCTTGGGACAGGTATTCTTAAACCATTGATTCTTTGTTCTATTATTGTATTCTGAACTCTAACTATCAGATTTAGCTTAAACGTTATGTTGCATTTGTTTGAGCCATTTAGTGTTATTTGTAGTTGCGTGAACCATAATGTGCTAAATATTCTGTTTCTTGTGAACTATGTAAGTGGAGTTGCTTGGCAACTAATGCTAACTCGCCCAGAAAAAAAGAAGGAAACTGGAAGTGATGTAGGGGAATTAAAAGATGTGAATAAACATGAAGGAGATATGCGCATCCTTGTATTCCGCTCAGTAATTACTCCCTCAGATAATGCTGTAAGTCTCTATTTTATGCAGTTTTTGAAAATATTGCATTTTGTCTTGTTCTACTTTGTGCTGCTCCAATAGCACAAAGGTAAAGAAGGGGTGGGCTATGAGATTTTCATATCAGACAGCATAAAATATTGCAGGACATTGAATTTATGAAGGAGGGGAGCTTGAGTCCCCAAGAGCTTGATGCTTTGGTGGCTGCTTTACAATTAGCTGGGACAAAGTTAGGGCAAAACAGTACTTTGGAAAGAAGACCGAGGGAAGATACCACACAAGTGCCATCTTCAGAGAAATTAATAGCCAGTCTTGAGTCTATGGGAGTGAGAATTTATGGAATTAATGAACCGAATGTGAGTTCCTATAGCAAAGAGATTTCGTGGGACAATATTGCTGGATATGATCAGCAAAAACGGTAAGTAAAGCCGTCAATGCTTGAACCGAAATGCGATTTAATTTTGTTGCAATTCTTTTTTGGGGTGTTAGGGTCCATACTTGAACTAAGGCCGTGTCCTTGGAAAGCAGTCAATTCACCACTGAGTTGTACCTAATATTAAATATGAGAAATGGAATTGTTTCTTGTATGAAATCATAATTGCCTTTGCTATCTCTTTGAAGAGTCACAGTAACATTGATGTTCTGGCTGAGTTTAATCATTTGTGTTAATATTAAATTACTCTGATACTCAAGAAAGTGAGCACGTGTGATTGGTTTGTGGTTAGATTGTTTACGTATGAGTGCATTTATGTATATGCATGAGAGTGCATTCATTTCTTACCAATATTCAACTGCTGCTTCTCATTGTGTAGGGATATAGAAGACACTATACTGTTGGCTCTGCTTTGTCCTAAAACATATGATGATATTGCCCGTGGGACTCGTCGTAAATTTGAGTCAAATAGACCTCGAGCTGTACTGTTTGAAGGTCCACCAGGTGCACCTATCAAACCTGAATAGCTTGCTATATTTGGCATTGACATACTGATGTCGATCATTTTATGTATCCCTGATTCTTGTTTGTCATTCTGTCAAGAGAATGTAATGATTCATTAGAGTACAAAAGCATCAAGTCAAAAACTCGTGAATTTTAGTCCTTGTTGAAAAAAATTTATCATTGGTTGGAATCTTTTTCTACACAGGAGCATAATTTTCATCATAGCACTAATGGAAAACTAATGTGCTAGGGCAATACTTTAATTGCTTCAGATGATGGGGAGTGGAAATTCCCAAAACAAAACACTTTAGAAAAGAAGCCAACCATGGAACTGGCTTTCTTTCTTCCTAAATCGTGGTCCATTTTACTAATTCAAAATGATGCATTTGCCATGAGTTTTTTTCGTCAAAACTTGGGTGTGTTGAACCTGTTTTTGGGGTGCCAATAGAATTACCAAAACAAATAGACTTGGGTTTTCACATGTCTGCTATTGGAACTTATGAGAATTATGCAAATGCATTAGTTTTGATATTTGGCACACTTATTAAGAATGTGTGTTCAATTTTAGGTACGGGAAAGACATCTTCTGCTCGTGTCATTGCTAATCAAGCGGTGAGCTTCTAGGCACTACCATTTTTTGGTATATTAATTTATTTATTTGTCTATCTATTGGCATGCTAAGTGACCTGTTTTTGCAGGGCGCCCCATTGCTATATGTGCCTCTTGAGGTTATCTTGTCCAAATACTATGGTGAGAGTGAACGACTATTAGGAAGAGTCTTTTCACTTGCAAATCAACTCCCTGATGGTGCTATCATTTTTCTGGATGAGGTAATCGAAGCAATTAATGCCCAGCGGTGATCTTAGAGATATTCATCCAAGTGTTGTGATATTTCTTTGAGACTGATAATATGTTGTTGTATGGTTTGACTGCAATTCTATATTTTGTGGTTTGTTTTGAGATAACTTTGCTTCCTGATATATTGACTCTATTTCAGGTTGATTCTTTTGCTATTTCGCGTGATAGTGACATGCACGAAGCCACACGGAGAGTCTTATCAGTTTTACTGCGACAGGTGAAATTGGATTCTCATTGCTTTACAGTAATGTTGAACAAACCTTTAGCAAAGCTTCAATATTCCCCTTTAAGAATTACAGAAAAGGCTTATTTCTAGATAGAGCATGCCCTGGAACAGGGGTTTGCTTGATCCAGACAGTGACAACTTCCAAGTGATTTGAGGCAAACTTTTTTTTTATTTTTATTTTAAACAAGTAATATGAGTAAAAAAACTCATACTGTTACGAAACTATAGTGAAAGTGATGCCCTTATTAAACATACTCCTCCCATGCAGATTGATGGATTTGAACAAGATAAGAAAGTGGTTGTAATTGCTGCAACAAATAGAAAGCAAGACCTCGATCCGGCCATGATTAGGTATATTTTCTTCCTTAGAGGATGATAGTAGTACAGTACCCTAAGTTGCCGCAATTGTTTGCCCACTTTTTATTAATAATGTGCAGCCGGTTTGATTCAATCATTACATTCGACCTCCCTGATCAGCGAAATCGTAAGGAAATAGCAGCTCAGTATGCAAAGCACCTGACTGAATCTGAATTGGATGAATTGGCAACAGCAACAGAGGGGTAAGTTTTACATAGGCTCTGACATACAAAAATTTCTTACCTTATTTCCCTTCTTTGATCACCATGTGCATGGGCATACCATTCTAACCTCCTAACAGAACAATACACGAAAAGCTTCTTTTAATCCTAGTAGAAAGATCTGACTTTTGCTTCACTATTTCAATCGTCCCTTGCTGTGCCATTTGTCAGAATGTCTGGAAGGGATATTAGAGATGTGTGTCAACAAGCTGAGCGGTCGTGGGCATCAAAGGTAAAGAATTATCTTCATCCAAGTTTTTACAAACAGCTTATCTTCATTCATGGTTTTGAATTTGATAGATAATCCGTGGACAAATATCCAAAGATGGAGGAGAGCAAGGCAGCAGTCTTCTTCCGCCTCTGCAGCATTACTTAGACAGTGCTCTGAATCGACTCAAGGGTCTACTCACTTCCGCACAAGGAAAACCCCAAAATTCTGAGTCTGGCACGAGGAAGCCCAAGCTTTTAGTTGATTAAAAGTTCCTACATCCCTTGCCCTTTTTGGTAGTTCCTTATTTATATGATGTCTAATTATCAGAGGTTTTCTTAAACAGCAGCAGTAGATATGGCCCAAAATCCAAAATTTTATATAATCAAAGTAGAAGTGATCAAGTAAGTACAAGCATGAATGCGCCCCTTGAAATGTAATACAGGTAGGCACAAGCATATGAAGCACTGCCTCCATTTTAGAGGCTTGGAGCTGGAGCTAAAATGAAATAAACAAACCAGTCAATGGGACATCTGAATTCTGATCAACAAACCACCCCCATTATTAGCGGTGAAATTACTAAAATAGCAAATTGCATTGAACAAGGCTCAACACCAAAGCTCCTTCCCTGCATTCAACAACAACAAACTTTGATCACTCTCAAATTCCACTACTTCAATCAATGCAAACATAATACCCGCCATACCTTTGTGAGATTGATGACGACGGCGACGGCGACTCATCTGCTTCTTCAACTCGCTTCCTTTTACGCCTCGGACTCTGCCTCGAAACCAACGACGCCACCTGCAACTGAGTCTGCAACAGCATCTGAGTCAACTCGGCCTCCAGCTCAACCCGCTGCTTCTCCGCTTTCAACCGCAAAGCCTCCCTCGCCTTGGCCATCTCCAGCTCTGTTTGCTCCATTCTCAGAAGCGAATCGGACACCACTCGGAAGCTCGCCGCGAGTCCCGACAACCGCGTCGACTCGCCATCCGAGTCGGAGGAGCTCTCCGAGTCAGAGCTGAACTGCAAGTCAGAATCTTCACCATCGCGATCGGCTACGTTTGGGCGTGCGCCGGATAAGAGCCCGGCATCAAAGGCGTAATTCTGACGCCCCTCGTTGTTGCGTGCGTTCCGGTTCGGCGGTCTGGTTCGACCGGTCTGAAATGCCATTATTCTCACTATCGGGCCCTCGTTTCGTTTGTGCGATGATCTTCTTCAACTACGGAAAAAGCAAAAGCGATGCACCGTTTGGTTGACGTTTTATTGGTTTTACGTAAATAAGAAAATTTACAATTATATTATACACTTTACTCCACGGTAACTAATGTCACATCATGTTAAACAGTTTAAAGTCAAAACTAGGAGAGCTCAATAAACAGTCGGTGAGACCGCCCTCATCCTATCACATCTCACGTTTGGAAAATCTTGAACACGCGCTTCTGAAGAGCGTTGAAGAAGTTATAAGTGACGGACGCACACATTAGCTGATCAGTCAAGTCAAGAATCAAGATCGCTCTCTCTCTGTCTCTCTGTTTCTCTGTTTCTCTCCTTCTTTCTCTCTCTCTGGTGAGATAGCAGCAATGGCGTCGGAGGACAAGAAAGCGCCCAAAAGTCGAATCGGAGGAATTCGGACACTTTCCGATCTGAACCGGAGGTCTGCCGACTCGGACAGTGACTCGGATGGCCCCCAGGAATACTACACTGGTGGCGAGAAAAGGTCCATCCTTCTCTTTCTTTTGAGACTTTTTTTTTTCTTTTTTTTAAAAACATTTCTTTCGATTCTCGGATTCTGTTCTTATGGGGTTTATGAAATTCTTGTTCTTTTTGGTTTGTTTGTATCATTGAATAGCCAACATGCATAAGCTGTGAATTTAACAGTCTTTTTATGTTTATCATTGGCAAATTGTTCATTTGTTCATGCTTGTTTGCCAATTGTATCAAATAAAACATAGAAAACTGAATTTTTGTATGTTTTGGTAAAGAAAAGGAGGCACTGTTATGATCCAATACTCACACTTAACGACATCAATTGGTTGACAGTGGGACATATTGCCATTATTTTCTGTTTTCATCAGATGGGTTGAGGTTGTTGTGGAATTCCTAATGGTGAGTCCGGGTTCCATTAGGAAACATATTTGGAGGGGGCATATGATGTTATGAAATGAAAGGGAGATTTTTGGGAAGCAGCTGTAAGTTATGTACCATCTAGTGTAAGGTTTGAGTGTGTGGGATGATGTTGGTGGGTCTTTGTTTGGTAGAAAGAGCTTTAGGGTGATGCCACTTTCAGAGTTTTGTCTGGTTAAAATGGAAATCATTTTCAGTGGATTGGGGTTTGGACTACTCACGTGTCAAGTGAGCGCCAGGGTTATATTCTTGTTTAGGTAGCCAGCCACACATTATAAAGTTTTAATTTTAATTGGTAACTTAGTTCCTAGAGGATGGTGATGGTGAATGGATACTAAATGTGCAAGGGGTGTGCTAAAACTGGTTCTACCCCCTGTCTATATTGCCTTGTCAAAAAACTCGTATTATTTTTAATGCTCTGTCTTACAGAAATCAACGACTACTCACGTGTCAAGTGAGCGCCAGGGTTATATTCTTGTTTAGGTAGCCAGCCACACATTATAAAGTTTTAATTTTAATTGGTAACTTAGTTCCTAGAGGATGGTGATGGTGAATGGATACTAAATGTGCAAGGGGTTTGCTAAAACTGGTTCTACCCCCTGTCTATATTGCCTTGTCAAAAAACTCGTATTATTTTTAATGCTCTGTCTTACAGAAATCAATAGTAATAAGAGCTGATGTTTAGCTTTAAATGTTTAAAGAAATTCTAACATTTGTAATTACAATATTGGCAGCGGAATGCTTGTCCAGGATCCTTCAAAGGATAATGACGTGGATTCAATTTTTGATCAAGCTAGGGAATTGGGAGCTGTAGAGGGGCCTTTTGATCCTTCTAGTGCATCTTCAAGCTCAAGAAGCTTTACTGGAACTGGTAGATTACTCACTGGGGAGACTGTACAATCTACTCCTCAGCAGCCCGAGACTGTTGTTCACAACATCATTTTCTGGTCCAACGGTTTTACCATAAATGATGGCCCGTTGAGGCCGTTGGATGATCCTGAAAATGCTTCTTTCTTGGAGGTAATGGCCATGGAAGTGTGACTCATAGAAATAAAAAGAAGAAAGAAACCGGTGGATTATAGGTTCTATTGTTGTGGATGAGATTGATTATTACTGTCCTTTAAAGTTATTTTCTGTACAATAAGCTTGCACAGTACATTCTTGTCTTTTTCCTCGTGTGTATTAGTTAATGTGATAACTCAGCTTGTGATCTCATGGATGAATTGTTTCTGCATATGTATATGTTCATCTTTATTACTGACAACAAATTACCCTGGCATAAGCGCTGGGTTGCTCTTGCTCTGTTTCATGGTATTGTACCATTGTCAGAAATTACATTTTGTATCTAATCATTCTCTGTCTCAACCCAGAGCATCAAAAAGTCTGAATGTCCAAAAGAGTTGGAACCTGAAGATAGAAGTACCTCAGTTCATGTCAATCTAATAAGGAGGAATGAGAAGTGCCCAGTGAGTTCTCTCTTTAAGATATACTTTGTACACTCCAATTCAGTAGTATTCTAGTTGAAGGCTCTCCAATATGAAGTAATATCTGCAAAAGCATTTAAGTTTTGATGGCCTGATATCAAAGGCCCGTGGAACATTTTTACTTTTGCCAGTTATTGATATTTCTGTTCTTGCAGGAACCGGTGAAGCGCCGTGTTCCATTTCAGGGTGTGGGAAGAACTGTAGGTAGCAGCTCTACTCCAGTAGCATCTGAGCCAACAACTGCATCGACTCCTCTAAACACTGCTCCAACCCCATCCGTTGGCCTGGTTGTGGATGAAACGTTGCCATCAACATCGGTTCAGCTTAGGTTGGCTGATGGGACCCGCTTGCCTGCACATTTTAACTACCACCATACCATAAGTGACATCCGCGCCTTCATTGACACATCTAGGCCAGAGGGTCCGAGGAGTTATCAGCTGCAGATTATGGGGTTCCCTCCCAAACTCCTGAATGATCCGACTCAAACAATAGAGCAGGCAGGGCTTGCCAATTCGGTTGTGATCCAGAAGTTATAGCCAGCAGCACCATGATAATTTGCTATCTGGTCATTAGATATATATATATGTACCAGGTAGGTATTAAGAACGTGAACCTGTACTGTTTGCTCCATATGTACAATGTCTTTCAAGGAGTGGGTGGATTCTATAAAATACTTTTGGAAACTAAAAAGGCATTTTCCTTCAAAATTAAGAAAAAATTACTAGTGAAATGCTGGAGAATTACTATTGGAAAGCATATTTTTTGTTTTTATTTGGCTTGGCATTGAGTTGAGAATTTGCTATTGTGAAAGCATTTGATAAAGATGGAGCTTTATGTTGCATTGTTCACGGCACAAAATAGTTGATTTTATCCGCATTAAACACCAAGAACCACATCAGACGAAAAAACAAAAACACTAAGAGGCACAGGTACAACTGCAACAACCCAACCCAGAACCTTCGGATTCTTTGCGTTTAGGCATGGCTCACTGATACTGGACTTCCGAACTTGTGACCAGTACCCCAATCAATTTCCTTTTTTGAGTCTAAGCCCTTGTTGACCGACCCATCGAATTGGACTGAAGCCCACCAACCACTCTCTGAGCCTGACTGTACGTCGGTGAGGTAAAGATCATATTCATCGTGAATTTGAATATAAAATTTCGGGTGCATGAATTTGAACATAAAACTTCGGGTGCATATATAGCTACTCTTAATCACTTGAGTTATTAACCCATTTCATCAGTCGGTCATCTTAAAAATGGGGTAAATAGTACTTAGCAATACAAGGAGGCAGATACTAGATGTGGTCTGGTTTCTCCCAGAGAGGGATTGAGTGTGGGAAGGAAATTAATTAGGCATCTCATTCTGCGCAACAGTTTGGCTCCGTTCATAGTGGCATAGATTGGACACCAAAAAGCCATACAATGTCGGCCAAAAGAACTATTTATATGCCTACATATCCTATTCTTTCTTCCTTTTTTTTTACATTTTGGGTTGGGAGAACTATATATCCTATTCAAAGAAGAAAAATCTTTCTGCATCATTAGAGTTTGGGTGGCCTAATTAATGCAAATGTGCCAGCCACAAAAAGCTTCCCCCCTTACCCTTTTCCCACATAATGTTTATATTTATACTAATCACAATATTAGCATGAATTAATCACAATATTACCATGCAGGGAGCAAAGCTTAATGGGGAGGGAGCAAGGGGGCCGCCCATCGCAAATGGAAAACACGATAAGTTTATATCCGCAAGTAGAAAAGCAAATTACCCCTTTCTAGTTGGCTGGAAGCGTTTGCACTAATGGAAGGAATACATACATGATAAGCTTTAATAAATGTTGACCAATAGCCTCTCAATAATATTCTCTCCTGCAGTTCCCTGTCAAAATCAATTATTTATTCTTGAGCAATGCTAGGAACATCATGTTTAAAAATATTTAAAAAAACCATATTATAACAATTCTGACGAACACTCTATGTTTTCCTAAGCAAAGTCTCATAATTTTCTTATATTTTGCTACTTTTTATTTCTTAGAGGTGTTCAAGTTCAAGTAGTATATACACTATACACACTGATTGAACTTGAACACCTCTGTGTCAGACTTATTGAGCTTCACTAACAACGATCACCCACAGAATGCCATTGGATTTGTATTCAATCATTTTTTGTTCTCTTCTTTCAATCATTTGATATGTAAAAATATTAAAATAAGAAATAAATTTTACAATGAAAGAAAGAAAATTGCCCATCACCATTATTTTTGTTTGGAAAGTAGCATTATCTTCGCTTTTCACCAATGGGCAACAAGATTGGCAACAAAACCCCGTTGTATTTGTACGAATTCAGATTCCTCAATGCCATAGAATGACAGCTTTGGCAAAAGCAGGGTCTATAAACCGAAGCCATTGATTGGGGAAATAAGGAAAAAAGAGATGAAAACGAAATGAGACAGAAAAAAAGAAGAAGCTGGAAGGCTGCATTTTTGGGGAACAACAGAACATATATATGGAGCCAAATGGAATAATTACAATATGCGCAACAAGAACAAACCACTTTGTAAATATATACGCATATACTCACTCAGACTGTTAATATTGCAGCTAGCTAAGCTATAGCTACAACTCATTTGTACTATGTGAAAATCAACATATCAACCTCATTT